AAAAAAAAAAAAAGTATAATGGATGGTATGTATTGATATTTCTACTTTATTATATTTAAAGAGTACCTGACCCATATGCATGAATAATTGTGGAATAAATACAGAGATAGCTATATCAAGACCTGAATACAGGAGTCATAAAAAGAGAGGAAAATATTTACAGCAGAAAGTAAATGTATGGAGGCATCTTCCAGCCTAGAAGAGACCATGGTAGGGGATGCATGGGTGAGGAGTGATATCCTAGGGGACTACCCAACAGATTGAGCATGGATGGAGGGAACATCTAGTCAAAGGGAGCATTCTGTAAAACAAGCACAGTTCCAAGATGCAGTCAGCTACAGCATGTGAGGGCATGAAGGTGTTAATTAAGATTAGGATGTTAAATAGGATTGTGAAAGGCCATTGCTTTGGATTAGACGCCTGCATTAGGCTCAACAGACCAAGCCAATAGAATTTAATGATAGTAGCTGAGCTTGTTAATTGTAAATTCTGTAAACAGTACTAGTAACCAAATATGTTACCTCTATATCCCACTTCCATTTTTTTTTTTAAGAGAGGTTTTTGTTATAGGGCATGTGTGCTCACCAGAAAGACACAGAGACAGAAAGCGAGAAGTTACCCCCAGGGGGATGGCCACATCACAATCCCTTCTCCATTCTCCTCTCAGGATGGGCACACATGCACACATGCCCAGCACAAGTTTAATCCACCTGATCCAGGGCTCAAACTGTGGTCCACTACATGGGAGTCCCGCCATCTGCTGGTCCCTCGCTTCCATTTTCTGTAAATGCTGCCAGATCATATTTGCTGGAGTCTTTAGGAAGTGCTCTGGTCCTGGGTGATGCCCAATTTATGAATTTTTTGTTTTGTTTTGCTAATTTAAAAAAAAGGAAAAAAAAGCTATTTGAAGCCTAAGAGATTCCTTGAACATGGGTTAGGCAAGAAGACTCACATGTGGGTAAGGCAGGAGACAGGTAAGCAAAGATTTCAAGTCATCCTGTTGTTGGGGTGCCATGGGCAATTAGGGGAAGGTACATTGAGGATGGAGGAGTGGAAAAAGATTTAAGAAGAATTACTTAGCTTCGTTACTGCCAGCCACCCCTTATCCTACACTGTTGATATGGTTTAACTCCCTCACCAGGGAAATTATGTTTTTTTTTTTATTATTATTCCATTTGTTATTATTTAATTTGACCAGAGAGAAAGAAAGGGAAAGCGAGAAAACAAGCTGTCAGGTCCAGGACCCGAACTGTGGTCAGTCATGTGGGAATTCATGCCACCCGCCATCCCACATGGCTGACCATGGTTCAAGTCCCAGATCTGGTGGCTTAAAACTCACACCAGGAGTGTGTTGTGGGCACACCAAGATCTCAAGAGGATAGAGAAGGGATTTTTGTGGTGACCATTCTCCCTGGGGTTATTTCTCACTTCCCCTCTCTATACCTCTCTCTGCTCTCTCCTCTCTAGCAAGCACATATGCTCTATGGCAAAAACCTAAAAGAGAGAGAGAGAGAGAGAGACTGTTTTTCCAGTGGATATGTTTAATTCTTTTTTACATCCTTCAGTATTCAACTTCTCACTTGTAGGACCCTTTATGCTGGGTTTGTGCCTTCAGCATGATGTATCTGGTTATGAATGTGTTTATCAAGTGTTTCTGGGCACAATTAGTTCTTCATACCCTTTTACATTCTTTCCTTTCAAATATTCTTGTCTATATTATCAGTTATACCTGACAAAAATATGAGCGGATTATGACTGCTTTGGTTTGGTATGCCAGTGTAAATAACTTTTTCTAGAGCCAGCCAGTGGCATGGTGGTTGAGGTGGCTGGATCCCACATGGGTGACTGTGCAGTTTGAATCTCAGACCCAATGGCTTGAAAAACACAAAGGGCATGGGTGCCTGCATGCCCAAAATCCTGAGAGGAGAATGGAGAAGGACCTGTGGTATGGCCATCCTCCCTGGGGGATGCGTTCTCAATCTTCCTCCCCCTGTGGTGAGTTCATATACCCTACAGCAATTTTTTTTAAAAAAAAAAGCTTTCTAGACAGTTTTGTCTCTGTTGAAATAATGATGCTGTGTAAAAACACATTAAAAGTAGATAATTTATGAATCATTCATATGAAATTCCAGAAAATACAAATCTGTAAAAAAAAAATAGGAATCAGTACAAATACTGATCTGCTCTGAGGAACACTCACTTGCTGGTCCACAATAGCCACACCCTTGGACTACAGGATCTCGTTTTATCTTGTCTTCCTGCCTCAGCCACATTGAACTTCACGTGGGCAGCCCAGAAAAACAATGGAAATCATTCTTTCAGATTGTCTGATGACAGTGACTTCAGCTATAGCATATGGACAGATCTGGAGTGCCTGTGACTCCTCATAGCCACTCACTGGAATACCTGTGCCTGCACCTTTTTTTTTTTTTTTTTGTTAGAGTTTTGCTAAAGAGCACATGTGCTCACTGGGAAGACAAGAGAAAGAAAGCAAGAAATCATCCCCCCCACCACACCCCCCACATGGGGATGGACATGCCACAATCCCTTCTCCATTCTCTCAGGATTTGGGGAATACCTGCATGAGCCCAGCACGTGTTTTAAACTGCCAGGACTGGAACTCAAACAGTGGTCAGGCATGTGGTAATGCAGCAACGTGACTATTAGACCATCTGTTGGTCCCTGTCCCTGCTTTTCTAAGAGGCATATTCCATCTGGTTGGCCACATGGTCCTTCACTCCTACTCATCACACTCACCCTTTCTTTACCAATTGTGAATCACACTTGGCTCCTACAGTTGTCTTTTTTTTTTTTTTTTTTTTTTTTGAGAGAGATTTTTGCTATAGGGTACAAGTACTTGTCAGAAAGACAAAAAGGGAGAAATCACCCTCCAGGGGGATGCCATGCTGCAATCCTGCAGTCCCTTCTCCATTCTCCTCAGGATCTTGAGTGCATACACACATGTCCCTAGCGCAAGGTTTTCTTTTTTTCTTTAAAATAACTATTTATGGGACCAGTAGTTGGCATAATGGCGTCGCACGACTCCCATGTAGTCTATCGCAGTTTGAGTCCCAGACCCAGTGGCTTAAACTCATGCTAGGCATGTGTGCATGCATGCCCAAGATCCTGAAAGGAGAATGGAGAAGGGATTGTGGCATAATTATCCCTCCTAGGGGGTGATTTCTTGCTTTCTGTCTCTCTGTCTCTTTCTGGTGAGTGCACGCACCCTATAGCAAATAAAACCTCTCCAAAAAATTATTTAACTTTATTATTATTTTTACAAATTTGACCAGAGAGAGACAGACAGAAAGGAAAAGTGAGAAAGCAGCTGCCAGGTCCAGGACTCAAACCATGGTTAGCATATGGGAATCCAGTGCCTTAACCACCATGCTAACTGCTGGCTGGACCTGTGCCTGGTGTGAGTTTTAAGCTGCTGGGTCTGGGACTCAACCGTTGTTTGACTACGTGAGAATCCAGCAGCATAACCATTATGCCATCTGCTGGTCCCTGGCTCCTGTAGTCTTAAGTCTTAGAACTCCACCAGCCTATGAAATTATGTACATCAGAACACAGGGCTTTTTCTAGATCCTGGTAAGAAACTTATATCCTCTGGGAAAATGAAACAAATTTGTGCTCTTCCCAGAGCACTTGAGATCTGAAAGAACAGCTTGCCCCTTCTCATGATGACCTCTGGGTCCCCAAATTATGGAGGCATCCAGGCAACAAATTAATACCACAAAGACCTGTATTTTTCACTGAAAGTTTTAGCAGCAATTCTAATTAGGTCTAAACTGGACCAAGGGCCAGCCAGAGGGTATGGTAGTTAAGGCAGCCAGATCCCATGTGACCACCGATGCAGTTTGAGTCCTGAACCCAGTGGCTTTAAAAACACCAGGTACGCATGCATGCATGACCAAGGTCCTGAGAATGGACTCCTGTGGTCAAACTCCCAGGGTGGTAATTTCTCACTTTGTCTGTCTCTCCAGAAAGAGCATGTGCCATATAACAAATTTTAAGAAACAAACAAAAAACTGGACCACGAACTACTCTGCCAGTACGGTGTACCTGCTAAGGCACACAAAACTCAGGGCATAATAAATCCTGTCCAGGCCTGCATATGAGCGGAGCTGGATCCCCCTAACTAAAACACTGACAACAATCTCCATAATTAAGGAATTGAAATAAGGCCTTTATTAGGGTACAAACCAGAGCAATGTGAGGCAGGGAGATATCAGTTGATATGTTGGGAAACTGAAAACATCAAAGAGTGTCATGCAAAACTAACAATTTCCTCAAAGGCTTTCTTTCCCTGCCAGCCTCTACCTGAATCAACTGAGTTTTCTTGGCTAAAACAGGATTAGATCTACAGCATTATCAGTCATAAAAGGGAATAAAGTTGCCCTAAAGGCTCAAGCTACTAAATATTTCCTCCAGGGAATAGGATACAGAAACATGTCTGGATTGCCTCAGCACATCAAAGTGACTACAGATAAAACAATTTCTACCAGGGAAGACAGTAGTGATGTAACTGGCAAAAGCCCCCAGCAGTTTAGAATATGCAAAGTACCTGGTAAAAGAATCACACATGCCTGGAATGCATGTGAAATCTCACCCTCTAGAATTTGGAAGTACACCAGCCTTCAGTATCCACGGCAAATTGGTTCTAGGAACCCCACCCCTCTCACCCCAGAAAACCAAAATCTTAATATGCTCACGTCTCTCCTATAAAATGACATCAGTTTTGCATGTAACCTACACACATCCTCCTGTATACATTAAATCATGTCTAGATTACTTATACCTAATACAATGTAAATGCTATATAAATAGTTGTTATACTGTATTATGGAATACTGACAAGAAAAAGGATGTGTTTTCTATACAGACAGAATTTCATAGGCTCACTGTATGATACACATCAGCAACAACATAAAATTTCTGAACTGATTGGTTGAATCCTCAGTGTAGAATCAGGTGGTAGGGATGGCTGACTATACATCACACAGATAGGTCCCTTACAAGGGCTTTCTCATAATGCATACACTAACCAAAGAGAAAACACATTCCTGCAAGTTTAAATGGAGATCTGGTGATACTAAACAACTTTATCTCAGGCTGAAGGCTTTCCCACATTTGTTGCTTTCATGAGGCTTTTTGATGGTGTGGCATTTATGGTGGTAACTTAGGTCAGAATTGTCCAAAGGACTTCCCACATTCACTGCATTCAGAGTTCTTCTCCAGTACAAATTACCTGGTGTTAAATAAGACCAGACTTTCCACTAAAGGATTCCCTATATCACCACACTCATAAGGCCTTCCTCCAGTGTGAATTCTGCAGTGATCAATAAGGTTGGAACATCGACTAAAGGATTTCCCACATTCGCCACACTTATAGAGCTTTTCTCCAGTGTGAACTCTCTCATGCACAATAAGGTGAGCTCTTTGCTTAAAGGATTTTCCACACTGGCCACATTGATAAGGCCTCTCTCCAGTATGAGTTCTCTGATGCTCAACAAGTGAGTACTTTTCACGGAACACTTTTCCACATTGACCACACTGATAAGGCCTTTCCTCAGTGTGAGTTCTCTGGTGCCGAATAATATTAGATTTATACCTAAAGGCTTTCCCACACTCCTCACACTCATAAGGCCTTTCTCCAGTATGAACTACCTGGTGTTCAACAAGGATACATTTTGTACTAAAGGATTTCCCACACTCGCCACACATGTAGGGTCTTTCTCCAGTGTGAACTCTGTGGTGTATAATGAGGTGAGCTCTTTGGATAAAGGATTTCCCACACTGGCCACATTGATAAAGCCTTTCCCTGGTGTGAGTCCTTTGATGCTGAACAAATGAGTTCTTGTCATGGAACACTTTCTGACATTTTCTACACTCATAAAACCCTTTTCCAGTGTAGTCTCTCTGGCTGTGAACAAGAGTGCTGTGGCTGGTTGCTTTCCTGTATTTACCTAACTTATAATGACTTTTTCCACCATGAAAGGCCTCCCCACACTCAGATATTTTGTTTGGCTTCCCACCTCTAGGGATGGCCTGGGGCTGAAGAAGGCACAATGTGGCTGGGAAATCTTTCCAAATCTCCTCTCTGGTGAATGACTTTTCTGACATACAGAATCTGTAGCTTGTCACAAAAGAGGCACTGTCCAGGTCCCTTTTCAATGGTTTCTTGACAGTGTAATGCTTCTGGCACTGGTGAACATTTGTACGTGCTCCAAACAAGTACGGTGTCTGCTCAGGTAGCTCAGCCAGGTGCAAAATGTTTTTCAAGGTTGGGACACACATGTCAAAGGGGTGAGTCTTCTGATTGGATGAATCAGCCTTTGAAGTCCTGCCCTGCAACCCTTCTTCAACTGTAATGCTCTGTGTAGAAGTTGCCTCCGTGTCCTCTGCGCCATGCTCATAACCTGGGCAGAGAAATGCTAGTGAAATACATGTGGACTATGGTGGGAGGGAACCCCTACCATATACACACCTCAACAATCCATCAACACCCACACCAAGGGAAAGTTCACAGGATTATCTTAAGAGTATCAGAGCTCTTGGCAGGTTGGTCTCTAAAGATCATAGAAAGCAGGAAGCCTCATCAGAGGAAGGATACAAGGATAGGAAGAAGCACAGGAAAGAGAGCCAGTGTCTCCGACTCAAACTTTTACAAACAGCCATCTTATAATCCAACTACTTTTCATGAGTAGCCCTGAAATTTCTCAAACTCACCACATGACCTTCAGCAGGCCTTTGTCTAATGGTGACAAATATATACTGTCCAGAAAGGCTGCTTGTGTCCAGGCCCACAAAAAATCCAACTAAAACTGAATAGTAAGTGTTCAGGAATATTTAGGCTATCTTAACACCCCTCAGTACATTAGTTGTGAATCAGTGCTATAGAGGGACCTGTGTACAGGAACGAATAATCCACAGAGACAAAAAACAAAAACAAAAACAAAAACAAAAAAACTGTGGGTAAATGGTACTAAATTACAAATGAAATGACAAGTTAGGAAAGTGTCATGTGAGAGGAAGAAAAGAGAAATGAGATGTGTACCATGGGACTGGCATCAAAATCCTGGGGACACAAGACATGGCATGGTTTGAAAACAGTCTGAGGTCATTCCCTCCTCCAGTTCAAAACCATCAAGGCCAGGTATACTGAGACCACATAGCCACGTGCATCCTGTGAAGAAATCAGGGCTTTTCCTGCACCCCTAGATATTCAATACAGGTGACTGAATGAAACAACCTTGACAGAGAAAAACAGGTGAGAACCCAGCACTGGCCCAGAGCCACTTGCATGGTAGAGACACAATAAGGAGAAATAGTATTATTGATAAAAAGATCCCTGAAGGAGATTAAATCAAGAACATCCCATGGTCCATATCAACACAGATCAGGAAAATGCCTACAATTCCTCCTACTGATAGCCACAAGAAATTTACCTAGAAGAAAGTGGCAGAACTTGAGATAAAAAGTGTCTTGGATCTGGATCAGAAACCCATAAAGGGAATGAAGTAAGGTGAGGTGCATTAGACTGACTTTATAGAATCTTGATTTCCAGACCCTGCCCTATACCTTTTGGGGCAGGAGGTATTAGGGCTGCTCAGGAACTACATTGCTAAGGGCAAGACATATAGTTCTATGCTCTCCCCCACAGCATATATGCCAAGACAGTGGTGGAGGGGGTAGTATTCACCAGAATCCATGAACTATGGTAAGGGCAAAGCTGCCTCTAGGGTAAAAGAGGATACACAGAAACCAGGACATTGGGGTGGGTATAAGGGCCTTACCCAATGAGGTTATAAGTGCAAAGTTCCCCAGCATCACATCAAGGTACAGGCATATCTGAGCCTCATTAAGGAGTCCCCACTCTTCCTGAGAGAAGTAAATGGCCACGTCCTCAAAGGTCACACAGTCCTGCCATAATGGAAAAAATCCAAACCATGATCAGCTGTCATAGAACTTCAAGTTAATACCCCTTCAAGCATCCCCTACTCACCTTTAAACTCACAACCCCACTTTAAAGTAAATACCAGGCCTGGTTCTAGGGATCCCTGCTCTCCTCTCAAGGTCCCATTGATCTACCTGTCGCTAGGTTCCTTTTACCTAGATGGGAGAGGCCACCTAAGCTCAAGCCTAGCATGTAGGGCAATATACCTTCTTACCAACCAATTCCCTAGGAAAATGCTCCAAGCAAATGAGGGTATCATCCTATATCCTCTGTCCTCAATGCCAGGGTTGTGGGGTCATCATTTTATGCCTCTCCATATCCTAATTGCATATAATTCCTTCAACCACACGTTTTCACACAGCTCTATACCTAGCCATGCCTATCTCAAAGCCATGCCTTTGCTTTGTTACATAGTACAGAGCATCCAGATGGTGCTTGGGAAATTAAAAAAGGATCCAGGGGGGCCACAAGTGGCATGGTGGTTAAGGCATTGGGCTCTCACATGCTCAACTGCAGTGTGAGTCCCAGACCTGGTAGCCTGAAAATCACACTGGGCACCTGTGCATGCATGCCCAAAATCTCAAGAGGAGAATGGAAGAGAAGGGATTTTGGTGTGGCCATGCCTTCTGGGAGTGGTGGTGGTGACTTCTCACTTTCTCTCTCTCATGTCAAAACCCTAAAAAAGATTTAACTCAGACCACTGATGGCCCCCAATGCCAGAGGCAGCCCCCATCCTGCTCTCAAGGTCTCCCTCCTAACTCTCTTCTTTGCTCCAGTTTCAGCCACCCAGAATGATATGCTGATCTGAGATACCTGTGGCCCTTTCCTACTTGCCAGCCCCTCACTAGTCACAGCCTTCCTCTAGTCTGGTCCTCATTCCAAACCCAGCCTGAGTGGCCTAATGATACTTCCTAAGTACCATTTGTGGCCCTAAACTAACCACTAACTTGGCTAGAACTCACCAAACACACTAAAAGTTACTACAAAACTATTGAGTCCATGATGTGATGAATAAATAAGCTCAATTCCTAGTGTTAGCATCACTTTTCTTCAATTACATGTATGCATCAGCATCTACATCGTGTCCTTTATCTTTTCACATCCTTGGCCACCAGCCACATCATCATTTCCCCCATACCCTTCCACAGATGGTCTGTCCAACCCATGTTTGTGATGACCACCACGCCCACCCAGCTGTCGCATCTGCTGTGACCGCACGTTCACATGGGTCTGGACGACAGACCTCCTGCGAGTGTTTTCTCCGGCAGGAGGCAGACGGCACAGCCAGGCTTGGGAACCAAATGGCACAAATCTGTCTTTGCTATGCGAGAGCTTCAAGCAGCCCAGGTAACACCTGGAGCTCAGTGCTCCTCTGTGCGAAATGGGACAACAGCAACGTCTCCCTCACCTAGAGGGGAAGATAGAGGGTGTGAAACACCCAGTAAAGGGCTGCACCCAGTTGCTGAAACCTGCACCCCCCACACACACAAAGAACTTTACATGGACTACTTTTTTTGTTTTTGGAGAGATTTTTGCTATAGGGCACGTGTGCTCGCCAGACAGACAGAGAGAGACATAGAGACAGAAAGCGAGAAATCACCCCCCAGGGGGGATGGTTATGCCGCAATCCCTTTTCCTCTATTCTCCTCTCGGGATTTTGGGCATGCACGCACACACACCCAGCATGAGTTTTAAGCCACTGGGTCTGGGACATGAACCGCAGTCGACTACGTGGGAGCCCAGCGACATAGCCATTACGCTAACTGCTGGTTCCCGGTTGTTCTCCCTTTCCTGGGGAATGCTAACAGCATTACCATCATGACCGAGATGTGACTACCTACCTGTGACGTCCAGCTTCATCCCTGTGCAGATGCTGGCTACCACCTTTAGAGGTCTGCATCTTGATCACCTCATGGTTTCACACCTAAGTGGTCAGCTGCCTACTTGATAGCTCCCCACCAGCTGTTCTTTGAAATACCTCAGTCTCTTAAGACAGCCAAGCACAAAACTCCCAATATTGCCAATGAACCCTATACACTTTATCATCCTTGTTAATGGAACATCCATCTTCTACTGTTAAGCCCTCAAATCCTGGAACCACACATGGCACCTACCTTAATCTCTCTCTCTTAATCTGAAAATCCAGGCAGCACTAAATGAAAAAATGACCTAGAATCTTAACTACATCTCTTATTTCCACAGCCACAACACTGGTCCAGCCACCACCAACACTCACCTGTACTACTATAGCACCTTTCTCCCTGGCTTTCCTATTGCCTCCTTCAAAATCACAGTAAGAGGAAGCCTGATGCAACCTGGGTCAGACCTCCTCCCTCCCTCTGCTCGAAATATCCCATGGTTCCCATCATCTCTAGAATAGATACCCACCATCTGAGAGCAATTCTTGCTTTGACTCCTGAACCTCTGTTCTCTGTTCCCAAGAGAAAAAAAACAAAAAACAAAACTCTGGTTCCCTAAACCAGCTCAGCACCCTCAACTGCACAAATCTGCACACTCTGGTCATTATGCCGACGACACCTTTATATACCTCATTCCACTGACTACGAGCAAGAGAAACCACTTCACATAAGCCCAAGCCTAGAATGAAGACTCTGGGTTTGGATTCTGTTTTTTCAGAGTCCTCAGGCTCAAGGTCTGGAAGAGTAGACACAATAGAGTTCTAAACGCAATCTAAGTGTAGAGCCAGCACTAGTAAGACCCTGGAACATCTTCCACTTACATGTGTAGTGTCCACAGGTGCTTCTGTAGTCATGTGGATCTGTGGGAAGAGGGAGGTGGTGAGAGGCAGGCAACCATGGGCGGTTCTATCGGCTAACGCTCCCTTTATCCCTGTCCAACACTGTAGGCAGGTCACCTTGGAACGAATTCACTGTCCTGAGCCTCACTGGTCGGTGTTGACTTACCTGCTTGTGCTTAACTGCAAAAGGACTCAACACCCCCGTGACTTAATGTTATCATCCCTTCTCCGGCCTAACTCTGAGCACCTCTGGAAAACTTTGAAAAATCCAACTCAGGCTATGTGCCTCTTCTGTTCACACCCTCCTTGATTCCCAGGGCCCTGGGAATGAAGATAAATCTCCACACGTTCCTACTAAGACGCAAATACCCCCGGTTCAGC